AAAAAAATTTTTTTTTAATTTAAAAATTGTCATAAAAATTTTAAAGAAACTTTAAAAAATAATATTAAAAAATTAAATCTTAAGAGACCAAAAGCAAAGAAAATACCTAAAATACAAATTTCTCAACCGACGCAGACCAAAATACAAGAAAGTGGTACAAAGGACTGTCTATGAGTGGTTCGGAAATTGTGAGAAATATCCGAAAGTAAAAAAATCATTGAAAAAATTTTACTAAAAAAGTCTTTAACGTTACAAAAACTAAAAAAAAAATCATTAGGAATATTATTAAATCTAAAAATAAAGAAAATGTCTAAAAAAAATTCTCATCCGCCGCTTTCTACTACAAAACCTTCACTCAGTTTTGAGTCTTTGATCTTTTTACAAAAGAGCATATTCTAATAGAAGTGATAATGACTGTATTTTTGTACTTTAGAATTTTGTAAACGTACAGCAACCTTTGGGACAAAGCGATGAGAACAGAACTAGTGAGATAAGTTACACACTGGGTAGCATACAAGGTATAAGGGAGATGAGTTGCAAACTGTGTAGCATATGGGGTATAAAAAAGTGTKTAATGAAAATAATGTCTAGTTGAATGCGCGTTGAAAGCAGCGGAAATTAAAAATTCAAATGAGAGTTGTCATTAAAGGCATTTCGGTGTGAAAACGGGAATAAGGCAGCTTCAAGCGACAGAAAAGGAAGAAAGGATGTTTATAAAATATAAAGCAGATAGAATGACAGGTTGTTTATAAATTTTGTAAAGCTTCTATGCAAAACTGTATAACAAGTATTGACAGAAATGTAAGCGTGTGTGGTTGGAGAGTTTACGGAAAGAGAAGCTTGCTGGGTTATGGTGATATTAAAAAATGRCTGAAATGTATATTTGAGCGCTAGCGCTTGTCACCTTTTCGATTTGTTTGTTACAACAACGTGGTGTTAATGCTATAATGTGCTGTAATGCCACGCACAACAGGCATTTAGCCGATTTATTTACTTTTAAAATTGCTTGCATATGTAAATGCGGACGCTTGATGTTGAAGAAAAGCAAATTTAAACTGAAATCATTAAAAAATTGTATATATGTATATACTTAAAAATAATAAATTACAAACAAATGAAAGCGCTTGCAATAAATAAAAGGGTTAGCAAGTATATAACGCGTATTTGCGGGCACGCCCCAACGCCTGAAAGTATGCACACCTATACAAATGCACATAAAAAAACTTAATTGTGTGTGTGTGTGCACATAAAAAGTTGTAAATATATACAAAAGCCAACTGCAACATTTATATATGTGCATAAAGTAGTATATACAATGCCTATTAGCTGGTTATGTGCACCCCATGGCGTATGAGTGACCAAATGTACATGCAGCATACATGAGAAGTCCCCGACACACAAGCGCATGTATAAATACACATTTATTTACATAATTCGAAATATGCACCAGTATATGCATTGATTATTTATGCCAGCCTACAACATGTTCGACAATGTTGCAGCGCCGAATTACGCTTTTGGGTTGGGCGCGCTGCAGCAAGGCAAAGGTGGCTGCGTATTTAATATATATATATATATATATATATATAGTATATATATCAGTGCAGGCTCGAAATGTGTGCGTGCGAGACAACAACTGCCAATTTACAAACGGTTGTCGTGGCTACTACGCGCATCCTGCGCCTCACACGCGCCAACTTCCCGCACAGCAGCGGCGGTGGTGACAGCAGCATTGCTTTTCACTTTATCTCGTGTTAGTGCATTTCGCTTTAAATTATTTTATTTTATGCCATTTGTGTTGYTGTGTTCTGTGTTTTGTTTTTATTATATTTATTTCATTTTTAATTCGCACACTCAATACCCAAGCACATCCTGTCGCGCGCAAACACACATATGCCGTCCCACCAACCTCACACCGGCGCAGCTTGCACACGCCAGTCCAAATATTTTCGCGTTCAGGCCGCATAAGCTGGCTACTACAACGCGCATATCCTTGCAGTGTGCGCTGCGTGTGTGTGTGTGCCATGTTCTTTCGTATGCGACTCGTAATAGGCGTYTGCTGCTGATGAGCTGCAATCGTATGCACAAACATACACACGTGTTTAAAAAATACATGCGCGCATATTTAAAGTGGTTGCTGGACAACATTTTGGACGCRCAGGTAGTGGCAGTGATTGGTTGAAGGGGTTAGCCTGGTGTTGGGCGTCGTGCACGCATTTGCTTGTTGTTGCCGTGTTTTCTATTTTTTGCAATTAAATTTTTTTTTTGTCGATGTTGTTGTTGCTGCTGCTGTTTACTGCATGTAATGGCCATGTGTGTAGTAGTCAATAAATAAATGCTGCGTCAACTGTACTTTTGGCGCACGTATGCTTGTATATGTATGTGTATATGCGTGGTCAGTGTTATATATGTATGTAAGCGTATGTAACTTGCGTTGCCTGACAACTGCCGGAATCAAAAGTAGTTACTAATAAAAAGTATATGTGCTTTAAAAACTGTATATGTATTTACAACTGATTAAAAAGTTAAATTCTTCAAAGAATTTGGTATACATTTATGTGAAAGGCAACGCCATAACCTGTTCAAATATTTTCCAGATCGGACCACTTTAGCATACAAACTGAACAACAAAATTGACGTCTCTGTATGGCAAGGAATATAAATCATGACAATGTGTGCATTACTTAGCGTTAGAGARCGATTCCTATATTTACTGGAAATTTTTAGCTTCAGTTTACTCAACGAACTCCTTCTCATGGCTTTTGTCGACTCATCCAACAGTAATTTCGACGCAAGAAAAAGAAACAAGGWGCCAAACAACTATTATCCAGTTCTACCATTTCAAATTTCTSTAATTTCTTAAATGCAATTTTATCATTTTGCTTATGCCCTTGATGTYCACAGCTTTTATTACATTTTTTATATTCTCCGACTATAATACCCTGAATAGATTTTATAGGAAAGGAGAACCTTTAGTTCTCTCAGCGAATTCTTTCTTATGGCCTTCATTGAATTAAAAGAAGTTATTATATTTTCTATATTCGTCTTAGCAAATCAGTTCTTTTAATAGGCGTACCTTCATCATCATACCTTCATCATCAAACTAAAAATAAAATTTTCTTAAATAAAGGCACGAAACTTTATGGAGACGTTAGTTTTTTCTAACACTAAAACCAGAGTGAATTAAAGTACTTCCTACAAATTCTGGAGACTGTCGTATTTAATAAAGTGAATAAATAGCACAYATGAGATAAAAATTACTTACTTACTAATTGACCTGCTAATTGAATTACTAAAATTAAATCCGTATGATTTTTAGTTAGCCCAAACCTTCAAAAGTTTTTTTTTATAAATTTTATAGCTGTTGGATCCTTAATTTCTGAATTATGTCACTTTGATTGAAGGAACCTTTTTACAGCTACAGTGACTGCGGTCCTGTCGAGTATCATGGCAAACATTGCTGGCCCAAGCCAAAGTACGAGAGCTTTGCYAGCCAAAGTTAAGCCCAAAATTAGCCAGTCAATGTGTATGTACGCAGTTCCGATATGGGGGACAGCCCGCCGTCGAAAAACAAAGGCAAAGACAGTGTTCAGGTTATGCGTTCTGAGATGGATTAGATGTAGTAGCCTCTGATTTAAGTAGACTCTGATAAATGACGACGAGTGCAAAAAAAGAGAGAAAAGCAAGTCTCGATGAGTGGCAAAAGTAATAGGATGCGTCAAATAAAGGAAGATGAACATATAGATTAATTAAGCATGTATCGGTCTGGATTGACAGATAACATGGTGAGACTTCTGCTAATTAGCGCAGCTCTTATCGGGTCATGGCTATTTCAGGGAATACCTGCATAAATTTGGCCAATGTTCCTTTTGCGGACATACCGCAGAAAACGCAGAGCACATCTTTTGCTTCTGCTCGAGGTATGTAGTGGGAAACCACCATAGAGGAACAAACGAAACGATGACGCCCGATTATATAGTGAATCACATGCTGCGACCACAGCTGTGCTAAAATGAAAGAGTGGGCCACAATATCGCTCCAAGATATAAGAATGAAAGAAAGGCAGTGTAGAACCATGAATAACTCTGGTGGTAAGATGTGAAGAGGCATTTATCTCCAGCTTGTTTTTGTGAAGTTGTACAGCAGCCGGAGTTAAGTGTTTAGTACGTAGGCATACTGTTCCGGAAGTCCAGTTTGTATTATAATTTAATACTGTGTGGGCGTGGTCTCGAAAGAGGTGTACTCCAGCGGACAATATGAATCGTGCATGCTAATTTCTACCTGGTAGTATTTTTGAAAGATTCCCACTTCGGGAACAAAAAAATTTAAATATTTGATTTTTTCTGAAGTTAGTTGGCTTACTGTGGTTAATTTTCTTAGAAAAAAAATACCCGACTACATATAAGGTCTACATCAAGTAAAATGTTTTCTGTCCAAGTAAAAAAGAAAAAAATTCTTAGACATTTTTGTGTTTTCTGCTCTCTTGACTCAGTATTGTTATAATAAGCTTGAGAGGAGATTTTGAAATTTTTCTCAATATCTGGTTAGCAGTCATCAGTCAATTAAGGTCAAGTTAATCAAGAATCCTGCTTTCGGTAAGGAACCTTTTTTAACCATAGCTTAACTGACAGATGGCTTCTAGCCAGACATTGAGCAGCATGCCTTTATTATTCAGCAAATAGCGCGCTGTAATGGGTCAGCTCATGCTGCACGAACGAACCGTCGGCTATCTGTGCAAAAGAGTATCGATCACATAAAAACAAAAACGTAGCGTAGAGTCACGGGCAAGGTAATTTATTACATTATTTAATATTTTCATGTATTAATATATATTTTTATATAAATTTGGCCACAATGACGAAACACAATGTTCCTTTTGCGGACATACCGCAGAGCACATTTTTTTTATATTAATATAAATTTTTATATATTAATAAATGTTTTCATATATTAATTTGTTTCGAATGTTTCGAAATTATATCTAAATTTGTGCAACTTACCAGTTTTGTTTACTTCTTAAATCCGTTCGAAAAGTTGCCGCAATTTGTAGCTTTAATTTTCTGGATTTTCTCAGTTTTAGACTTTTGAAATAGTAATTTTTTCGCGCACAATTCTATATGAAAAACTCGACTACTACTTATTTATGTTTGCTTGCCGCTATTATTATTTGGCATAATTATAGTTCATGAAGTATTATTATTTTTTTATTTCGTTAATAGTTTACGCATACAAATGGAATACTTATTTTTGTTTTGTTCCGAAACTTTTTTTTGTGTTTTTTATTTTATTTTGTGCCACAATACATTAATAAAATTTATGTATATTTTAATAATTTTTTTTTTTGTGGGTGAGTGTGTATGTATTTATGCAATTTTTATTTGGTTTTCGCACAGAGAATCCATGACTTTTAACTAACGCTAAAAATTTGTGTCCAAAATTTGTTTGCAAAAAGTTTTGTTTTTTCTTTTTTTGTATACAAGACTTTTTAGTTTTCTATAAATTTTGCTTTCAAGCAATATTTTTCGGTATAATACTGGCAACTGTGTTGTTTGTTGCACTAATTGCGTTTAATTTCACTTTTTCACGCAGCTGTGCTTAAGCACTTGCACTTTTAAACGCTGGCAACCGGTCCTTAAAAGCTTTTTAAAAAACGCTTTTGACCGCGCTAAACTATACGCTTTCGAAATAGTGTTTTATGTGTGCTGAATAGCGCCGTGCAAACTTTCGAAACGGTTTTTGTTTAAAAAAAAAATGTTTTTTCCGAGCGTTTACGACGCAAATTTCGAAAAATTGTTGTTTCTTTTGTTCTCACTATATACACCGCTATCAAAGCGCACACTTTTCACGCTGGTTTTCAACACTTGGAAGAAATATATTTTTTTTATTTATTTTGGCCAACACTATTCGCTTGTTATTCCCTTTTGGGCAATTTTTGCATACAAACTTTTTGCTTTCAAGCTTTTTTGTTCTTTATTTATGCTTTTAGCTCTTAAATTTTTGTTGTTCTTCACATATGTTTGTTGTTGTTTTTGGCTTTTTTGACACTCGTGTTCAGAACAGTTCAGAACAAAATTTTAAACACGAAAAATTACCGAACTAAAAGTTTTTCATTAAAATGTTCAAATTTCTTACAATTTGCGTCCAGAATTGAAATTTTGTTTAAAAATTTAACAAATTTTGGCTATTTCGATTTGCTATTTTTTTCCTGTTTATTTTATTTTTTGTTTGATTTGCTGGTTAACCGGTTTGTTTGTTGCTGCTGTTGTAGTTTTTTGTTTTTTTTTCACTGTTTTTCTTACTGTTGTTGTTTGATTTGTTTTATTAATTGTTGCCGTTAATTCGTTTTATTGTTGCAAATTTTGATACTATTTTTTTTTTTTGTTTGCTTGTTTTAGTTTTGGGTTCGCTTGTATTGTATGCTATTTCACGGGTTTTTAACGGTATCTGCGCTGTATTATTATTTATGTGTTTTGTTTAGAAATTCTGCTTTATTTGGTGTAATTGTTAATTATTAAATATTTGTATTTGTTGTTGTTTTATTGCATTTACTTTGTTCGTTACTATTCACTATTGCGGTTTTTTCGGTTGTTGTTGTTGTTGTTGCTGTTACTGTTGCTATTGTTGTTGTTACTATTACTGTTATTGTTGTTGCTGTTGCTCTTGTTGTTTTACTGCTTAAATTTTGTTATTGTTGCTTTTTGCCAAATGATTTCTACGTTGTTTTTATTTCTGTTGCTGCTGCTTGCTTTTTCGTTGGTTACTATGTTATTGTTGTTGTTGTGTTTTTTTGGRGGGGAGTTRGTTTGGTTTATTGCTTAGTTGCGGATTTATTTATTTATGAAGTTTTATTAGTTGTTTGCTGGTTAAGTTTGTATATTATATTTATTTCTGTTGTTGTTGTAGGTTGTTTGTTGTTGCTTTTATTATTGTTACTGTTATTATTTTATTGCTGCTGTAGTTGTAGTTGTAGTTGCGTTTTGTTATCCTTGTTATTGGTTGTTGCGATTGTAGCTGTAGTTGGTTTTTAGTTGTTGTTGTAGTTGTGTTGTGTGTTTTGTTAGTTTATATGTTTTGTTTTTTTATTATAATTGTTATTATTTTGTTTTTTTAGTTTTATTTATTTTGGGGTTGTTGTGGTTGCAGTTGTTGTTGTTGTAGTTGTTGTAGTTGTAATCCAAATTTTGTTGTAAATTTTGTTTGTTAAATTTTGAGAAACTAACAGAAAATCACTTTTTTGTTGTATTTGTAACTGAATGTAATGAAACTGAGCGTTCTTTTTATTTGAAAACTTTGTAATTTTTTGATTTACCGTTGYTTTTTTCTTTTTTTTGGTTTTCTCTCTCGTTAGTTTGAACGCATTTATAAGAAACCAAAGCAAACTAAAATTAACTTAAATTATTATATTTACAAATTATTTAGTTAATTAATTAAGTTAATACAAAAACAAAACGATTGCACATAAGTTCCTTTTTGTTGTTGTTTTCGCGATTTGTTGTTTTCTTTTTTAATTTGTTTTTTGTTGTGTTTTTTTTTTCTTTTTTTGGTTTAGGTATTCCTTTTTTGTTGTTTGTCCTAGAGTTGTCTTGCCATATGTTTGGTTTCCTTGACTTTGATTGGGAGTTGTTTTTGTTTTTGTTCGTCCTCAGATTCAACAAAACAATATTTAATAAGAATCAACAACGTTTCAACGTAATTATTAAAAAGGTTCCAAACAGTCAAAAAGCACCTGTAATTGTCGCGTGGGAGAAATAGAAGAAAATATAAGAGCGATTAGTTTATTGTAAGGTGATATAGCTGAATTATAACTGGTTATAAATGAAGATACTAAATAAAGTTCCTTAAGGCTTGTTACTGTTTTTAAGACAGCTTACGCCATAAAGTGTAAACAATGTAGAAGAAGCTTTACACAAATTCTTGATTACACAATTTTTTTAAGGCTCAGAACCGAGATATTACCGAGAGGAATCGTTTCTCAAAACACTACAGAATGTTCATAAAAAAGGATTACTGAAATTGTTCGAGAGCAATATTACGTTTAATTCGAAAGTTTAACCCCCTTTACTGCCTATAAATCGTTGGTCTATAGAAACTATATATTCTATTACAATTATCATTATAGTTTACTAAGCGCCRTTTTCGCAATGTTTGGTTAGCAGCCAACAGCCAATTAAGTGCTGATTAACTTAACCAATAATCCTTACTTCGGTAAGCAAACAAGAATTTCTTCGTAAAACTTCCTCTAATTGCCGACACAGCAATTGATAGTAATTGCTTATRAATCATGCTAAGAATTTTAAACGTAATAAACAACAAAATAATTGTAAACTGTAAGCAAAAATAAAACTCTGCAAWAAAACGCATTTTTATAGTGCTTTGCACTGCGGCGTCGTAAACCAMGTAAACCACGTGAAAAGGTGTTTCATAGCCGAAATGCACAAATAACAAGAGTTCGTTATGTTTTCCACGAAAACGTAGCGCACTACAACAAAAACCGCAAAAGCAAATACAAAATATCAAAATACTAAAGAAAACATTTCKATTCGACGGAAAAGGGAAGCGGAAAACGGAAAACGAATAAAAGCCGCGACGACGATTGAACGCGTTGAGGAARGCAACAACACACAATAAATTCAGCGAAATTGTGCGAGGTGGCGCGATGTCGGCATCTGTGCTTAGTGGGCCACAATTGATTTAGTGCTAGGCGGGTGTTGTATGGCATCTGGGGGGAGCGTAGTGTGCCCATGAGGGGTATGTCGCTGTGCTGACTGCMGGTAGTAGGCACTTGGTGCCTACACGGTTGTTGTTGGCTTAGAGCGATTAGGTGGCATGTGAAATGTGAATGAATGCGCGCTCGATTGCCGAACAAATGAATGGGTAACGAGAAAAGAGCAAATACAATTTCAAGTTCAAAATGCTGCRTTATTGGCGGCGCGACTTTAGCGACGCTGTGGGAGTACAGGATGTGTTAGAAGGGGTTGAAAAATGCAAATGGAAATAGATTTAGAAATGGAACAACAATAAAGAGAAAAACACATTACGCATCCAGGTGAGTGTAGTGGTAAAGGAATGGAAAGGAGATTGCGACTAAGTTTTTGTTTAGTGCCAGGCTCTTTGGGTAAGTAACGGTAGCAAGGAATTTAAATTCTTTAGATACTAATGGAGAAATGTAGCTATTATTTATGATCAATATATGTATATATAGGGATTATAGAT